AGAAAGCGAGCAAGCGCACGGCCGCGGGTAGTCTCGAGGTCTGCGGCCAACGCACGCGCGCCTCTATTTATAGAGAATTTCGTCGGGTTTCGCGCGAAGTCGTATCCTCTGCGCTCTTTATTTTCATTGGGGAATTGGGAGTCGTCGCCTCGCCACCGACGCTCGCCACCGACGCTTGCCACCAACGCTTGCCGCTTTTTCCCCCGATGTTCCAAACTCATAGCTATTGTGCGCCCCACGACAGCCGGCGTTTTATTGCGCATTAAAATGCCAGCGGGAGCACATCGGCGAATGCTTGTCGGTCACGGCTCCTCGTCCCCCTTCTGTCACGATCGCCACGCGATCGATAATCGGAGCTGAAATCATCACTGATTCCAAGTGGGCCCAGGATGCGTCGGAATATGGAAAATCCCTGCCGAGTAATTGCAAATGAGAGGGGTTGTGAAAAAGCTTTTCCATTGTTGGAGGAAGCTCTTTATCACCCCTTACCCCACCCCTACAACCATTTCAGCCTAAGCAAATACGATTATTTAAATATTGTACCATCAGGCTATCGCAATTAATGTTATTTATAAATCTTGCGCACACTACATTAACTTTATCGAATGTTACGTGATGACTTTCATGCGACTATCTGGAAAAAACAATGGCTTTAAAAGTTTTAAGTTCAAAGCGGAATAACAGTTAATGCGTCTTATCTGTCTATATATTATCGAAAGATACTTCTTTAATCGTCAATGATGCTTAATTTAAAAATTGAGGCGTTTTCGTACAAGCCTCTTGGCCTTTCTCGTCGTGCTCTCGTATCGATAATTTAACCTTAGATCAATATTTAAGAGCGAAGATGGATCAAATGCGAAAATATGAAAAATGAAAGGTAGTCGAAGGTTGCCGAGCATAAGGAAGCTGAAAAAGCGATCATCGAGTAACCACCAAGTCTGGTCGAGAATAAGTCCGCAGAAAAGTTTTTGGAAGTGTTGGAATTCTATCGATATTCGGGAAATTGTTGTTGCCGCCCCTTTCAGTGGCTTAGCTACCGTCGGAAGAGAGCCTTAAAGACGGCTCCGTGAAAAGCGTGAAAAGCCGGATTCATGTCCCGGGAAATGTGGGTCTTAGTTGCAGCAGGCATACGTGCCTACGAATAACGGGGCCCTGTGCTTGCTTGGGGTGTGGCGGCGGTAGCGGTGGCGGCAGCGGCAGCGGCAGCGGCAGCGGCAGTGGCAGTGGCAGTGGCAGCTACGATGACGACGACGACGACGATGACGCGAAGGAGGAGGTGGGGAAGTTGCGCGGGGAGAGGGGTACACGCACCGGTTCTCCTTCTCCCCGAGGCGCAGCTGCCCGAGCAGCGGGTCGAGGCTCGACGGGGTGCGCGCCAAGTCACCGCCGCCGGGGTGTTTTCGTCATCCAAATTTTTGCGTTAGTCGGAAGCTTTTCCTTGCCTTTCCTGACTAATTAGAGGAGGGTCAGGCGGCGAGTCGACCCACGTTTTCTTGATTTTTCGTCGTCCTCGGTCTTCGTCGGGGAGAAACGAAATTATGTTATTTCCTTATTCTATACGAAGGAGAATCTAGACGTTCTGCTCGATTTAATTTGGATTTCTTAAATTTCTTCAGAAATTTCGGAATTCTATTCCTTTTTACGGCCTTCATAGCAATTTGGACATTATAGTAGATGCCGATCATAAATATAAATAATGGCAAATTTTCTTCAGTGCTTGTATTTTTCGGCCTAATGGAAATGCGTAGTTCATGCTATAATTCAGGGGGCAACCGATAGGGCAACTAATCCTCAAGAGCATCATTTTACAGACGCACGATACATTGTATTACGAGAGTCGACCTTATTTCGTTTTCTTCATTCACTGAAGCAATAACATCGTATTGAAAATGTTTTAATTTCAAAAATTTTAGAAAAATATTTCACCCAAAACAAAGTATATTATTGACAAAAGAGAATCTGCATATTGTTAATCCGTTAGAATTGTAAATAAGTATTTGTGGTGCTGAACGGAGAAGCAAAGGGATCGTGGCACATTGCACAATGTATATTCGTAGCTGCACGACGGGTCTCCTTCTTTCGGATGGTTAGTAGTTTTTACATTTTTTGCGTAGGGCAGCGTAGTAGAAGGAACAGTTCTCGGTTGGGAAAATCTTCCCCCTCTCTTATGCTCCGGCTGTCTTTTCTAAGCGAGCAAACAAGCGGCCATAGGCTGAGATACTGCGGGTTCTTTGGCTAGAGTAGCCAAATTGAAGGCGTCGTAGTAGCGCGCGACTATCCCCTAGACGGATCAGGTAGAAAGTGCCTTCCGAGTTTATAAATATGAGCATGGTCGCTTCTACGAACGGAAAAACAAAGTACGTTTGGGCAGGCCAGAAGCAAGGCCGTAGTTGTGCGCGCGCGCGCGCAAACACCCAGTGCATTTATATTACGGTTGTGGGGGGGGGGGGGCTTGGCTGGCGTGATAGAGAGGGAGAGAGAGAGGGAGAGAGAGAGAGAGAGAGAGAGAGAGTGAGTGAGTGCGAGCGATTAAGTACGTGCTAGGGCCCCTCGGAGGGTTGGTTCGTCGTTGGGGTGATCGCACAATGAGGCCCCCGAAAGCGCGGGAAAGAGAGATGTATGCGCCGATATGTTGGTTATTGAAGGGCGGGGCGATGAGTGAGGAGGAGGGAGACTCGTGCATATTGTAATTCTATGCACACCTGATAGTGGAGGGGATAGTGCGCGGAAAATTCGAGGCCTGCTTTTCCGCCATGTTAGATCGGTGATCGTTGACCCCGGGGGGAGGAAAATCCGGCTGCGTTTTGCGATGGGGCTAGGGGGCTCCCCTTCGCAACACGAGGCTTTGCTTTTCCGAGTTGTCCTGACTCGATCGATGACGCTTCTGCGTGTGAAATCTCTCGAAGCGCCGCGAGGATTCACACCGCGTGGGAATCGGGACGTGCACAGCATTATGTAAGCTAAGTCAAGTTTTTCAGATTCTTGGTAAAATTGTAGTTTTTTAGTGTTGAGAATGTTTTAGGATATAAGCTGGGGTGGGTATCAGTATGAAATTGGCCACGATTTTAAAAAAGAGTTTTCCTATTTACTGTGCTTACTTTTCAATGTAATAGTATGGACAAGAGAAAACTACACTATTGCTGGTTATAGGTATAAATAAAGCTTTATTTATGTTAAATTTTTAATCTTTTATTATATCGAATTTAAGTGCTTTGCGGTAATTAATTGTGCACAACTTTACCCCAAATTTTGAAACATCAATAATATTTATAGGGAAAATCATTGCTTCGAGCTTACAAAATTATTTACTTATGCACTAACAACGGCATTTATTCCTCATAATGGCATTTCAATTATCTAGTTTCTATTATTTCTCATTGTTATTCGCCAATTATTATCTATATATTCATTAAAATGTATTACTTCGAGTTAAGTAATGAAATGTAAATGGCATTAATTATTGCTTAAACAATTATTAATAATTCATAAAAAAAAAATCCACCCTGTATATAATACATTGTAATTTATTAGCCTCGAAATTAAATAAAGATTTTCGGAAAGCATTTTTAATGCTAAAATATAAGATATGATAAAGTTAAAACGTCAATATTAGCTCTTCTTTAGAATAGAATACCGAGGGATAAGAAAAAATAATGTGAAAAAATGATGTTATACTGTATAAAAGAGGAGAGAGAAAAATTATTAAGAAATTAGTTTTTGAAATTTAAAGTATTAAAAGTCGATGTACAAATGCAAGCATTCGTTGTTAAAATTCATCATTCAAATTTATGGAAATTATTTCATTTAACAACTCCGTAGTGTTGATCATGAAATTTGAAACACTGAAAAATACTTATTTCCTCCGTCGTTAAATAAAAAATTTCGTTAATTTTAATGTTCTTTTCGTTTCACTCCTCGTAATATTGATTAAAATTCTGGGTCAGAAAGTGATGAATATTTTTTATGAGTTGATCAAAGAACGAATCGTGGCATTGGAAAAAAAAAAATCGGTGGCTTCGTCTCTTTTCATTAAAACACAACATTAAATTGATTTCAGTAGAGCATGTCCAGGGAAGTTTATAATCATCTGCTTATTGTTTTTCATAAATTTGCTCTTAAACGATTGACATGAATCTACCCTTAAACGACACATACTTTTAAATAACAATAGCGCCGAAAAAATTATACGCTTAATTGTTTAAATTAATTTAACTAATTTTATTTTAATTTCGCAACTTTTTATTTAAGCTGATATTTATTATACTTACTAATTTGCATATATAGTATTATTGAATTAATTATATGGTTAAGTTACGGAAATTGAAGAGGAATAGATGGCTTTGAACGTGCATGATTCCCATTGGTTTAGAAGAAAATTAAAGTTATTTTAAAGTAAGAGTTATCTATCGTATATACGCAATTTCATTAGCTTTCAAATAAATTCTCGTTTCTTTTATCATATCTTTGACCAGTGACACGAAAGCTTTTATGAATTCTGCTTTGTTTCTTACGCCAGCAAATACATGTGGTGACCGTAGATTAACCTGTCGGTTAACCTCATAAAAGGGGCTTTTTTTTTTTTCGTGCTTTTTTTTTTTTTTTTTTTTTTTTTTGTAATATATATATATATATATATATATATAAACAAGAATATATAACATTATTTTATGATATAATTAAACATATGATACATAAGAGCGACACGTCAATAATAATTAGTATTTAATCAAACGAGTCAAATGAGTAATACGTAGACTCCCGAATTCAGTCTTCGAATATCAAAGTTATCGCATTTGGAGAGAAATAAATTCCTAGAATTTCATTAAAAAGTCTTGATTTTAAGATACTCACACGGGACGAAATTCCGTAGCTTTTCACGATCCCTCGTCCCCGGAATCGTTCGACTCTATAGACACATTGTTGGCCCGAGGCTTTATTAGCTTCCGTCGATTTAAAAAGCAGCAGGACTGAACGCAGCAATTACCGTTCGATGTTTCAGACGTTGACCGGCCACCAATGCCAGAGGATTCATAAAGGATCGCCGGTAAGATACAAAGGCTCCGTAGAGCACCGGTAAGAGGCAAGGGGCTCTAGGAGTTCGCGCGCAAGTAGGCGGCAGCAGCATTTCGTTGTGGGTCCAATCGTGCTGCGGCTCGCTGCAGATATCGCTCCAGCTGACCTGGAGGCTAATCGCGTGTACGGCCGAGGCGGCGACATAGGGAGCGAACTGCTGAGGATGCTGATGCCGGCTGCCGCGGGCCTGAGCGCCGTCGGCGCTCCCGGGCCCGAGGACCTCGTCGGGGGTCTCGGGGCCCTTGCCGGCGCCACGCCACAGCAGAAGGATACTACCTGGACGAAGCTCTTCGTCGGCGGTTTGCCCTACCACACGACCGATAAGAGCCTGAGGGAACATTTCAATGTGTACGGAGACATCGAGGAGGCGGTCGTCATTACCGACAGGCAGACCGGCAAGAGCAGGGGCTACGGATTTGTAAGTTTAGATTCGGCATTACGGACTTTACACTTTGATTGCATTGACTTTGGTGTTTTTCTTTGTATAGTTGGGTTGCTACGTCGAGACTTTTGAATGGGGATTTTCTTTTTTATTTTTTATTATTTTATTATTATTATTATTATTATTATTATTATTATTATTATTATTTTTATTTTGTCTTCTCTGGATTATGTGTTGGCCAGTTTAACGACACAAATGCTCGATTATTATGCTTTTTCTTGTTTCGGTTGCATAATCACAACTTTGATAAATTAAGACAGCGATTCGAATGATTTCGTCTGCTTATTCTCGATTTTTGATATATAATTATTAGCCTTTAATAAGCAACTACATAAAGCGAATTATTATTATTTTTTTCATATATCGCGATATAGAGGATTATTTATCGTTTAATAATAAAATATGAATAGTAGACGATTGGCTATGATTGTTTTATCGAGTATTTGTATTGGAAGCCATTCAAATAATAACATATTAGGCAAAGAACGAAATTCCAATTTTCTGCGATATTTTCGGAATAGATAGAGGGAGGTTATTATTAATAGAAAAAGATGATCTGTTTATCTGATCGGTAAAGACAGTTGACTTAAAATATAATTTATATTGGCCAAATGAGAATCATTAATTATTTATGTGACTATAGTTTAGCTTTGTCTTTTCATTATTTATGTGACTAGAGTTTAGCAGACACATCGTACGACGAATATATCGAATAGTTACGTAATAAAATTATTATTGATCTTATTGAAAAGAAAAGAAAAAAATTGTGTTTATCGATTGTTTTACAATTGCTCGAAAGTAGTGCTCCTTGTTACAGAATAATTCAGTTACAATTGTTATATTACGCGATAATATACATTTGTTTTCATTTATAAGCCAATTGTAAGGACTATGTATTTAGCGGAAGATTAAATAAAAAATTTAACAAAAATTACGTTGAAAATATTTCGTAAAAGATGAATATGTATTTAAGTAAATTCTTATAAGAAATGGGAAAGTAAAGGATTGTGTACAATCCAGTGAAATTGCACATTTTGTATTCGTCGCTGATAGTTTGGTAATTCCGGCTGATAAACCCGATAAAGTTGAAAATATACCTGTACGTGCCTATCTTAAGTGTTTATGAAAATTTAAGGGACTGTGTGAAAGCCACGATTCCCGCTAATACAATTTGTCGATGTCATTTTCGTGGATAGAAAAATTTATTTAACGGACAATTTCTTAATTAGAGAACAAAGTCAGCCAAGTTGACGATTGCTTTCTACACAGGTGCTTTTCATTTGTAAGTATTGTAGTACGCTTTGTTTGCCGATTGCCAATTAAAACAAGTCACATACAAAGCTGTGAGAGCACATGTAATATAATTCCCTAAAATAGATTCCTTCGATTGTACAAACATGTGGGGATATGCCTTGTTAACTGCGCCGTCGATTATTATTTAGTACCGTTACAGCATGTTTATTTTTCTTTTTAATTCTCATTTTTACATTCACATCATCGTTACAACCTTGTTTCGCATATTATTTGTAAATCACATCCATTCGGCAACGATTCGACGACTCGAACATTCGTCGCTGACGTTTTGAAGCTCCGAGTGCGCCAAGAGAGCACAATAAAAAGTATTATGAAAACGACACGGCAACCGCGTACGTACCTTCGTATGTTTTATCCATGCGTGTATGTATATATTTGCCCATAAAGAAAAGAACCTGCGGCGAGCGTGCGAGTTTTGGCTTATCTTGCGCGAGGGTATGCATAGGTGCGATAATATGAAAATTCAGGTTTGGAATATGCGCGATGCGAGTCCACTCGAACATGCCGATGAAAGGAAATACTTTTGGAAAAATGTTCTTCCTTCGCCTTTCTTGCGACACGCCGAGTATACGGCCCATTGTATTTCCGTTATCACGCAATTGGATATGAATTTTACATTTAATAAAATACTATATTAATATCTTTTCCGTTCTTTGAATTTTCAAATAAGTGGGTCGAATCGCTGTACAGTCGTGCTCTTACACTTACCACAACACCTACGTTACACGCTATACACGTTATACGCTTTTATAATCAGAAATCGCTTGATCATAACGTTCCTATTTTATTTTTAAATAAATAATTTCGGACGACAAATAATAACTTAGCGTTACGATTTATCAATGCCGCGATAAACAGTACACAATAAACACATGATTGAAAATTGTTCAAAGTGGGTGTGGGGGGGGGGGGGGGGGGGGGGGTGGTGGTGGCGGTTAACGCACATGCGACGTTAGATTTCACACGAAGCTTAGACAATCACTTAAGGTTTAATCATTTAGGCGAATAAAACATTGGAGTATTAAATTTTGATATTACATCTCTATTGAAAAGTTTTTCTCTAAATGCTTTATTTAGCTTTTTTAATTTAGAATATTTACGAAAATGTTAGCTAGAGTAATTTTATGAGACTGGTACACGCGCTTTATTATTTACCTTAGATGCTTTTTTTTTTCTTTTTTTTTACGCTGCTTAGAAGCAGTAAGAGCCCGTTACGACTTGACAGTACATCCTAACTAAAAGTTAACTCTTAGTTATTCACGTGAAATTTATAAGGAAAATAAGCATGACCGCTGCAAAGTGATTAGCTTTTGAAAGTAGATATTTTATACGTAAATTTACAATAATAGCTCAAGAACTGTACCATTGCTCGTTATGCAATTATTTTTAGAAAAGCCGGCTTAGAAAGTACTGTCAAAATATAAACTAAATTAGGTCGTAAATTTCTTTTAGCTTGCGTTCAGTTTGCGTTTAGTTTGCGTTTAGTCTGCTCGCAAGCCGAAACGGCATTTTAAAGAAAAATGTGCGCAGTGCTTTAAGTATCCGCATTTTTCTAATGAAGCGAGACTCTCTCGTCGTTTCGGCCGCGCAAGCACCATTAAAACTTGTTTTTCTCTCTCGTATCCTTACGTACTCCCCGATCATTTCCAAGCAACGAGTAATGTATTCCCGTGGCTCTTAACATCGCCAACGTTACAACTAACGTCATCCCAATCTCGAGCTTACGCGTTGCAGCTCGTAATAATTCTCGGATTAGCGGTGACCCTTGAGTCGTTAATGGGTAAGGCGCGATCGAGGTGCTCGTACGCCCCTGCGCAAAGGCTTAAATAATTGAATTGGCGTCGGGGTGAAGTACGGCGTTGGGCGAGGATAAAAAGTGGGAAGCGTGTCGTTATTAAAGCGATGCTCTTCTGGTTGTGTGCACTCCAGGTGATCATGGGAGACAGGCCGGCCGCCGAGCGCGCCTGCAAGGACCCGAACCCCATAATCGACGGCCGTAAAGCGAACGTCAATTTGGCGATACTCGGCGCCAAGCCCAGGGGCAACCTCCAAGCGGGTGAGTATCTCCAGCTTTAATTACATCATCTGCCGTCGAATGTCTGGCTTTAACACCTGTGATCTCTCACATTAACTGCTTTCTCATCCGTTCCTACGATTTTTGTGGAGCCGGTCTTCCCTCGCATGGGAGTGACGCGGGGGTGGAGCGCCAGGCCCGAGACTCGTTTTTTTTTGTTTTTTTTTGTTTTTTTTTTTTATGTGTTCTTCTTGTGCTTGCATAACTTTTACGTGTGTGAATATCACGTGTGTGTATGTTAATAATCGAGGCATTTTTGTTTACCTTTCTTACTTTCCGTGTTCAAAATCACTTCTCTAATGCATGCATTTACGTAGCGAAATTTTATCTTTTTGGTGTTTAATGCTTAGTTTGCTTTTGCCAAATGTGACTACGCGTTGGCGAGGATTCCACTAGTAAAACAATAAACCGTTCTATCGTGATTAAAACGTTTGCTCCATCGCAATATCTACGTTGTCCTCATTTGGAAAATCAAGTACACATTAACCATTTTATTGTTAATGTAAGTTTTCAATGTATCGTGTGCGTGAGCGCGCGTGTGTGTGAGCTTGTGCGAACGCTAGAATTATGTATAATAATAATACGCATATAAACAAATTTTTACATTTTAATGTTGCACATATTCATTAATATCAATATCAATAATTTATAAGTCTACCATTACTCAATAACGTCAATTAATTTTGACCTATAATTTTTTTTTTATTACAAGCGTTTTTTACTCTTTATGAAAATTTATCTTTAATTAATTTACAAAGACATAATTTATAATTTTTAATATATATTAATCTAAGGCTATCTAGCGTTGAGAATTTTCTTTACGCAAGCTTATGAGATTTTTTAAACTTTAAATATTATGAAATAAATCGATGGAAAATATTTTGTTCACGCATCTAGATTTTCTTTAGATTTTTCATAATTTCGAGGAATTTTATTGCACACTTGAAATCGACGATAAACGTAATAAAAAATTTTTTTTCGTTTTGCCGCGTTATAATTTATGTAAGTGTTTGGGTTGGTTACGATGAAATCAATGAATTTTTTCTCAAATTCTAGACTTTGCTTACATTAAAAAAGTACATTATACTTATTTCAGAGCTGAAAAAGAAAAAATTTGGTGAATTCTTATTGTCTTCATATTTATGTTAAATATTAATGTTTACGCGACTTGGGTAAAAGCCACTATCATTCAATAATATAAATCTCAAATCATCGGGTAATGTGTGTAGCTGCTTTATTTGAAAAAAAAAAAATAAATAAATAAATAAAGAAAAGTAAAATACTGTCCTGATAACGTAATCTATCTTGTTGAATATTTTGTCGCAGTGTCAATCAAAATACTTTGATCTCTCTCTTCCTTTTATTGCTTCTCACCTTCCCATTTTTTTTTATATTTTTCTCAAGTTTATTTTCGAATCTTATTGAATTGCAACGCGTCTCTTGTGTTTTGGCTATTATAATCAATGACACGTTATTGATATTAAGCCAAAATTGCCACGATTGATGACGCGAAATCCTTGTTTAGGAAGATATGATAAAGCTAAAACTTGAAGAATAATTTATGTATTATTTTTATTACATTCTGGAATTTTTTGACAATTTCAAACCAATAGTGTAATAATGTCGATATTTCATTTAAACATTTCACAATAGTTTGATAAAATATAATTAAATATCGTTTTAAAATGTTGTTACTTTAAGTTTTTGTTCTTTATAGCAGCGAGTTAAAAGTTTGAGTACTTCTGTAATTAAAATCATTGCTTCTTTAGGAAATTAATTTTTTACTACACATTTATATTAAAAACATAAAAAGTTGTGAATAGCATTGAATCTCATTGAAAATGATCGACATTTAATCATTGTTTAAGTATAGAATTATACATACGAATAACGATGCTCTATTTTTTTTTTATTTTTATTTTTTTTTTTATTACAAATGATGATTTTATTCGTTTAGGTTTTTTTAATAATAGACAAGTTTATCGATACGCTCTACTATTCTTATTATTGTATTGATTCACATTATTTATCAATTAGTTGGCACATTGTCAATAATCAGTTTTATGAGGGGATATGTCGAGGCTATTATCAGTACGAATATAAATTTTTTCTACACGAATTTTCTACAGATAATTTTAGTTAATTTTATAAAAAAATTTAAAAACTATGTCTATATACAAAAATTAATAGCTCACAATTTATGCTATTTAAGAATAAAAAAATATAATACATAATTTTTATATAATTTTTTTTTTTTTTATTACTGTTATGTTTTTTTAATAAACAAAATTAACTTTATCTTCCCCGTTTCCGTCTCAATTTCATAATAGCCTCGTCAATGTCTCAACGCGTTAAAATGAATTATTAAACAATGATTAATCGTTGAAGATTTCTTTGTTTGTCTGTTATTTTATTGCACTTTCTTTGTTAGCATTATCGATAAATTTTAAACAAAGTAGAATTAGTCATGCGTGCTATTTCATTTGTCTGCATAAACGGAAGTCTTGTCTCCAGAGCACCCGATAGGAGAGCATCTGATGACTATTGGATCAAAAAAGCCGGAATCAAAAAAACTCAAAAATGACGTGAAGCGCAGATGTAAAAAAAATTCGAATGAACGAATTTATATCAATCGTAATTTTCATCAATAGACTGAATTTCCTTTTAACTTTGTTCCTTTAATTGCTCGCGATTTAAAATCCGTATTAATTTGTGACTAGACCAACCAATTGGTGATTAAATTTATTATCATATTATGTATTAATAGGATCGAGATTAACGTAATAACTCAGCATAACGGAAACAATCGCGAAGCTATCACGGTAATTTATATAAATATGACGGATGCCAGCGAAGACGTCAATCGTAATAGGAGTCGTGAAATTTCGGTTTCAGCATTCTGGCAAATCGGGAATACTTAAAATATTCCAAGCTAACTTTACGCAATGATGAAAACAAACGGAGTGCTCTGAATTCCACAGAGCAATGCGTGGATTCGCGCGTAATAAAGAAAATCGTTTTCTCGGAGCATTAAGCGCAATTATTATTGCTTTCGAGGTGCGGGCCGGCAACCAAGACAGACATTTCTTTCTTCTTATTCGTGTGCCCTTAGTTCTAAAAATGCGCCACAAGATTTGCAAGACGTCTACTGAGTAGGAAATATATAGAACAACCAGTATGGAAGGAAGACGATGACGATGACGACAACGACGACGACGACGACGACGACGACGACGACGACGACGACGACGACGACGACGACGACCACGACGACCACGACGACGACCCTTGCGACATTAACGTATCTTAAAATTAAAACACGTGGCGGGTTGAAATTAGTTGAAATTTTTTACTTCAATCATTCATCATCATTTTTGAACTTTTGTATAATTACAGTGCCTCTTGTACATTCATAGTGTTAATTATTATTGTACGCTTGTGTAATTTTGGAATTAATACGAATTTTGAATATTAGCTTTACCCCCATCAGCCATTCAATTGCTCCAAACATATTTATTTGCAATTATTGTTAACTTCATTTTATATTCTCAAAATATACGGTTCATTTTTTATTAACGATAGAGCAGGCTTCGATATATAAAGTTTTGCTTTCATTAACGACTTAACACCTTCTGAGATATATACGAAAAGAAATTTTTTATCAAAAATTTTACTTTAGCGCTACGAGAGCGCAAAAGAGAATATCTCAAAATAAATTAAATTTATGAGTACGCGAGGCAATATATAATGGTATTCTTTAATGAATTTTATAAAAGCTAATAAATAAATTATGGCCTATTCTGGATCTTAAATGAAACATTGTATGAATATATTATTATTATTACATGTGATTAACGTCCACAGTTTTAGATGGCTCTTGACGAACTTTTATCGTTCATTGTTGTATAAACTATGCAAGATCATCATTAAATGTAAATCAAAACAAACAATAAAAACTTATGAGAATGATGTATAATTGTGATGTAATAATATGCATAAGAGGCTTGCGTAAACATATATGCGTGCAATGATTTTCTTTTTTATTTTTCATTTATAGCATTTCCATTCGCCGCTGGTATTCGCGCCGGATATCCCGCAGTTCTACCTGGGCAATATGGGTAAGTTTGTTTACATTGACGATAATGAATGCTCATAAATTTTAAGTTACGGTCAAAAAATAAGATCCTCACCTCAGCATACATAGTTTCTGATTAAGAAATTTGGATCAACTGTAATTGTGTTATTTTTTTGTTGTTCGATTTTAACAAACATTTTTTTTCAGAGTGCGCCGATAAAGGGATATTAAAGACAATTTTTCTCTCTTTCAAATAATTTTTTTTCTTCTTTTTTTTTCCTTTCTAGTTTTGATTAACTTTGTGTTATTTAGTATTATTTAATTCGCCATAAGCTTTATGTTCTATGAATGTTGAAAATTGTTCAAATCGTTATATATATGTGTGTGTATGTATGTGTGTGAGTGTGTGTGCGCGCGCGCGCGCGCGCATATATATATATATATATATATACACGCATATATAGACATGACTCGATAATTTACGTTTTTAATTGAATTCATCAGTTTCCGTTTTGAATTTTACAAAGAGTTGACATGGAAATTTTATAAATCAAGTTGCTTATATCATTTATAAAAAAACACCTGTAAAATCTCTCATAAAGTTTATGATATTTATAAATATTATATTTTTTGATATTTAGATATTTTATAATAAAAATTGACTATTAAATGCAAATGCGACATGAAAATGAATGAAAAAAAAAAAAAAAAACAAAAACAAAAAAAAGAAGAAAAAGAAAAAAATAAAATCTTTCTAATAATTAAGCCATGACTATCACAAATTTTCTTAAATGTGAATAATGTATAACATTTCAGCATCCTGACGCGCAGCTATAGTCTCGGGAGTTGCGTTACCTGAAAAAGCTCAGCGATGAATTTGTTACAAACAAAAAGAAAAAAAAAAGACTAAAATGATGTAGTGAGCAAAAAATCAAAAATGAATTTAAGGGCGAGAGAGATAGAGAGATAGAGAGAGAGAGAGAGAGAGAGAGAGAAAGAAAGAGAAAGAGAGAAAGAGAGAAAGAGAAAGTAAGACAAAAGAAAGAGTGAGGGCAAGGGAGAGGAAAATGTCGCGGCACACGCACACGTAATACGAAGCCAAGAAGTACCTACGTACGAATATTTTTATTCTTTTCGTATTTATAATGCCTTATATATACATATTGCAATTTCTTATTAGTTGTGAGGATCGTGATTTATATTTTTTTTTTTTTTGGTTGTGTATAATTTTTTTATTTTTTTTTTAATTAATTTTTTTATTGTTTACTTCTTTTGTTTACTTTACATGAGATGAAGTGGTTGGTGATTGATATTATAATATTCTGACTACTTATTACTTTTGACATGATTGAGATTGTTGAGAGATTTGGAATTTGTTTGTTACTCTCTCTCTCTAAAAATCTTTTTTTTTCTTTAAATAACTTTTTACACGTTTTTCTTTTCTTGGTCTTCTATTTACCTCTTTTTTTTACATTTGTTTCTTACGTTTTTGTTCGTTGTACATGACACACTACTCTCTTTTTCTGAAATTTAATCAGCATAATACCAGAATGATAATTAATTATTTAACAGCAGTAATTGATTAACGGCAGTAATAATAATAATCAATATTAATTAACAAAAGCGGCATGAACGGGCGCCGCGTTCTCGTCGATTGTCGCTCCCTGCGTTTTTTTTTCTCCTACCGCGAGCTTACGCGGGCCTCTACTCCGCACGAGTGTAATGGTAACGAGCCGGAATAAACGTACTTGACCCACTGTCAATACCCAATCGCCAGGTACACTACAATCGCGGCCGCCGTTAACGCTCTATACTCTCGTATTTGGCTTTTGTCACTCACAATTTTTTTTACTTTTCGGCGCGTACGATCTCGCCCCTTCTCTTACCTCATTTACCTTAGACTATTGCCTAGTCGTAATAATTCACGATCTTGTCTGTGTTTTTTTTTCTTTTTTCATTTTAAACTTTCTCCGCACCTGCATTATCACAAAGCTCATTGCGCGTGTTTCACGATAGATACACATTTGCGTGTCACACACGTAGTTTATCCCATTCGCTTTTATTCCGTAGCGTGCTATAGGAAGGGTTATTCTTCGTGTGCTATATTAATATTATTCTTTCTCTCTCTCTCTCTCTCTCACACACACACACACACACACACACACACACACACTCTCTCTCTCTCTCTCACTCACTCACTCACTCACTCTCTCTTTCACTGTCTCTTCTTCTCCATCATTTAATTTACTCGTTAATTTCTTTATTTATATATTTATTCGTTGATCGTGCAAATATATATATATATATATATATATATATATATATATATATATATATATATGCGGCGTATATTTTCGAAACGGATATAAAAGTAAAGTACCGACGATCGAGCATTGTTATACTTATGATTACATTGATGATTGTGTGAATCGAAATGTTTTTAATTCGCTTGTCTTATCGTATTTGAAAATGCCCGGAGCTCCGAGTTCCGCGCTCGGGACCTATTTTCTCATATTTTTCTTCGTTTCAATCTCGCCCGTATTGCTTGAGCACTCGACGAGAAGACACTCGCCGCACATCATCGGGGACCGTTGTAAGAATATTTATCGAAGCTGCGAGAGAATCGGGTAGTTACATCATTAACGGCCTACACCCGTCTTTTCCTATATGTGGGTCAATCCTAATGCGGATATCGGGAATGTTTAACCTGCTCGCATTTACCTGCGTGAAAGGCGATATGATGGATATCGTTTGTCGAGACGCGGCGATATCACGCCGCTCCGCTCCAGCTAAATTTTACACACGATGGGCGTCGCGACGCCGCATCTCTCGAAATCCACTTTTCGGCGTCGCTCGACTTGGCAGCTGGCGATATTTGTGCATCTCGTTAATCAGTCTCGCGTCCTCTTCGCCCCGCATCGTCCTCGACTCGGCCCGCGTCGACAAGCGGAAAGACGCGTCTCCGCCTCCCTTTTCATATTCCCTTATCGCCGGCTCATCCTTCTCACCGAATTAGAACCGCAACCGCGCGCCGACGACGAACCCTGGCATGTGCATCAATTTTTCAGTGAGCCGACGTCGTGCTTACCACGCTCTTTACTTCCTTCTGCCCCCCCCCCCCGATGCCATCCTTCCAACATACCCGTCTTTTTCGTCCATCCTTATTTTTTTTATCTCTCTCTCACTCACTCTCACTCTCTCTCTCTCTCTATCTCTATCTCTATCTCTATCTCTATCTCTATCTCTATCTCTCCCGTTTCAATGACGTGCATCGATTTTCATTTCCCAGCTCGTTTCTATTAACCAAACGCAATCATGGGATAAAGTGGGTAACGCGCGGTAAGTGACGGTCCTCTAGGAATATTTCGATTTTTCTGTCGCGCAGTTTGAACGATATCCATCTCGTTCTATTCGTGGACATATTTGCGCCTTTATGCATGTCAACGTGTGCGTATCTTTCGCTTTTAGCTTATTTTACTCGTTGGAGATTTCTCAAGTTGTAAAAGAAATTGCACTGCAATTCACCATGTCGCGTACGTTTCCTTTTATTCTCGTTCGAGTGAGTGGCTTCGCTCGACACTTTTTCGGCCTTTACAAAGAGACCGAACCAGCGTCATTGTTTAAATTTTAAGAAGCTTAAAATAAATTTTCCTTACTCTTCCGAGCGAGCATCTAAATCGCGCGCTCCATTTTTATTCCCTAAATGTAAAATATTTAGTGAATTGGTCTTGTCAAAGCATACGTATCGTCGATTCCTATAATGATAATCTTTGCTATTATGTGCCTAGAAGCGGAGGCATCGCTTCTAATTATTTTATTAAAGGCGAAACAAACATTCGCTGCACTGGAGCAGCAGCAGCAGCAGCAGCAGCAGCACATTATCGTCCGAGTTTACCAACTTGCACCGTTGATTTATGCAAAAGTACAAGTTTCTCTCTTGCTCGCGTGCGTTCCTCGTAATGGAAAAGAAAAGAACGTGTAACCCTCGATAAGAGAAGCGAAGAAAAGCTAATAACGCGCAGTCCAGACAATAAAACTCGTGCGAATATGAATTTCCATTCCACGAACTGACTACAATGTCTCGTTTCACGATAACCCCCGCGGGCAGATGTACGCCGAGAGCGGGACGAGAATGAATAATAAGCTTCTAGAGGGAGATAGAGCGATGAGGCGAGAGTTTGCGAGCGATCGATCGAACAACGCGTATGTATCGGCATCGTGACCTACAAATGTGCGATCACTTCTCGCGCAAGCCTTAATAAATATAGAAATTCATTTTGCGACAGGGCAATAACTATACTTCCTTATCGCACTCGCGTATGAGGCACGCAGTACGTCCCGTCCGTCCCCGTGACGCAGTAGAATTACACGCCTAACCTTTAATGATTAATAACCGGTGCTGTGGTGTGTGTGGTGAAGGCTTACACTACACTTATTGGTGTCGCTATTGGTGTTGTAATTTTCTTTCTTTTCCTCAACTTTTTTGTTGTTGTTGCTCTTGTACGTGAATATACATAATACATACGTACAAACGTACATAAATACGTACATACCTACCTATCTACCTACCTACCTACCTACCTACCTACCTACCTGCCTACCTACATACAAACATACATGCATACATACATACTACACACATAAATATATTTTTGTTTCTACTTTTTTTTTCCGCCTTATATTGTGATTTTTAAAATAACACAAGCGCGGAATTATAATTGTAGCTCGATAAGGCAGTCGTCGTCTGTGAAGTATTTGCTCCAATGGGCATACGACAAAAATTGATACCTTGCACGGATAATCTTATAATTTCTGTGTGTTTGGTGTTTTCTTTTTTTCAATTCATTCATAAATTCTTTAGGTTGTCCGTAAAATGTACATCATATAGACGTTACATACGTCATAACTGTCTTGTTAAATTGCATATTTAATGACTACTATTGTCTGCTTACTGTAGGTAAGGTAAGGAATTTTAGTTTCGAAATACCTAGTTTTAATGAATATCGTTTTTATTGTTTTAATGCACTTGAATATATAAGAAAT